CACTTATACCAGTTTATATGTCATTTTTGTCCTTAGCCACAATTATTTTCCTTCAGTTTCCTGCTTGTCCTTATGTAAATGTAGTCCAAGAGTGAGATAACTGATTAGTCTTTATACCCAGTCAGTCCCTAGCTTTGTTAGCTGGTCAGCAAAAATGCCAACTGGTGGCTTGGTTAAGTTTTGATTATGTGAATATTTGCAACTATGACAAAAACAGCCACTACACATTTGAAACTGCCAAATCCCCAGTATTGTAAAAGATTGGTAAAATAAAGTTTACCTAGTACTGATGAATCTTCCCACTAATAAATTTCTAACGACAATGAGCTTTCTCTACTGCCTTCCACTTTCATAGCTGTTTACACCCATACAAAAATTCTTCTTAAAATACTAGCACTGTCTCTCACTTTAGCAAAATGTACACATGTACAAGCTCCCTAAATGACCATTCAGGTAGAAAGGAGCGTGCACTTTCGAAAGTATTTTAGCTTATTTCCCTCCTCTCCCCTTTCTTTCTATATGCCAGTAGTGGAACAAAGGATATCTAATAATGGGTTATCCTTCAGCCATGCTGTAGCTACTTAATCTTAGTCTCTGAATTTATGGTGGCATTTTCACAAGACATTCTATAGATTGGATTACAGTTTAATTAATGGCAGTCACATTCTCAGAGATCTGTATTCCAGGATGAACTGGGGGAATTATCCATGTGCAATGATGCACAACCTCTTCAGTTTAGGCATTATGCTCTCACTGGTTCTCAAAATTTTCCATTTTCAGAATGTTTGCCTGTCCAGGATTGCTGGTGCTTTTACTCCTGAGAGCCTCCTTCACAAACCCCTGCCCCCATCAGTGCATGTGCTCCTCTTTGGGTCCTGCATCACTCAAGGTAGATTGTGGCTCTAGAGACCTGGACGCCCTTCCTCTTCTACCTAATGCAACAGAAGAACTTTATCTGCAGTACAACCAACTGAAAACAATACCTGCAGGAACATTTGACAACCTTTGGACCCTAAAAAGGATCAACCTATCTAGCAACCCATGGCACTGTGATTGTGAGATTCTCTACTTAAAAGTCTGGTTGGAAGACCAAGCAGACAACATGGTTAGCAATAAGGTTATTTGCTTCACTCCACTTTCACTTAATAAGAAAACACTCTCTCAGTTGAGACAGAGTGATTTTACCTCTTGCTCCAGGGCTAGAAGACATTGTTTTGACTTCTTGTTCACTGAAGCATTTCTCTTGTTTCTTCTTCTGCTCTTGTTGACTTTACTGATCTGTGGTGTCTTGGCTGCAAAAACACCTAAGTACAAAATGAATGTTTCTAGTGATAATGTGGATCAGCCCCCTGCATCAGCTTCAATTTCTAATGAAGTTAAGAGAATAATTCGCAATTAAGAGAATAATGTCCTGGACTTTAAGCAGTACATCATGCTAGTGACTTGTGTGAGTTAAAATATTAGGTAAGAAAGATGGTTCATTAGAAAAGCATGTGACTGTAAAAACCAGATGAGAATGGCGAATGCAGGGACAATATAAAGCATGACATACAAGTATAGGGCCTGGCCTTGAAAGCCACAAACTAATGAATTAAATCCTGACCCCACTTAACTCAGCAGGAAAACTACCATTGCCTTCGATGGAGCTGTAAGTCCATGCCAGTTGCAGTACTTACTTCCAGGGTTGGTCCTACTGAAACTAATGATCTACACCAGTGGTTTCCAACCTTTTTGAGTAGATCACTTTTTGAATTAAAAAGCAACCCAGGTTCTACCACACACCACCACCTCTCCCCCAGCAGGTCAGTCTGTGGGGAGGCAGATAGAGGTGGAGGAAGAAAAAATTATTTGGGGGCAACCCCCCCACAGCAGGTAAGTCTGTGGGGGAAGGGGCGGGGGAGAGGGGGGACAGATCAAGGCCCCAGAAGTGAGGGAGGGAGCAGGAAACAGGTAGGAGCAGAGACTGGGGTGATTGGCATCCTGTGTCCCCGGGCCCCCACTTACCCCACCACCTGGCCCTGCACAGCAGGGGCACAGGATGGAGTTGTGAGTGACTCTTCCGGGTGGTGCCCAGTGTGGGGAGGGGATGGTGGCTCCCGCCACTGTATGCACGCCAGGAGGGCATGGGGGCTGTGTGCCTGGGATCTGCGTGGGGCAGGTTGCTGCTGTGGGCTGGGGCTGAGGGGCTGCCCCGGGCTCCTCCCAGCACAGAGGTTGGGTCGTGCCATGCTCCAGGTGGGCGGTGGCTGCGTTGAGAGGGTGGGCTAGGGGTATTATGGCAAATTTTTGGGTAACTGCAGCCCCCCCACCCGCCGTAGCCCCAACTCAGGCCCACTGCTGCCCTGAGTGCAACCCAGCCCAACACTCCCGCCAGGAAGAGCCCGGCACCGCCCCAGCCCCAGCCCACAGCAGCAGCCCACCTTCACTATGCACAGATCTAGGGGCACATACTCACCATGCCCTCACAGGGTGCATGCCCCCTTCTCCCAGCACCTCCCCGGATGAGCTACTAGTGGCTCTGTCCCACACCGTGCCCCGGCTGTGCAGTGCCTGCCCCAGCCTCAGCCCCACTCCCTCCCTTACTGCTGCATGTGTGCCCCTCCCCACCCCTGCTGTAGCTGCCCACACTGCCCTATGTTTGGGAGGGGCACATACCCCCCGATCTGTGTGTGGGGCAGAGGTGTCTGCCACTGCACATTGGGCTTTGCACCCCAAGCCTCACTGCAGCTTGCTCAAGAGCAGCAACCCGATGCCACATGCGTTCTGCTGCTGGGCTGAGCCACACCCCCTGCCCGCCCAGCAGTGCGATGCATGTGGTGTTGGGCCACTCCTGGGCCAGCTGCAGCAGGGCTCAGGGGGCAACGTACAGTGTGCAGCAGCAGCTATCTCCGCCCCATGCACAGATGGGGGGGCATGTGCCCCCTGGGCCTCTGCTGGGGTATGCAGTGGCGGGAGCCCCCCATGCCCCTTGATAAGCCACCCCGGCTCCCATCCTCCCACCATGTGGCCCATCCCGGGCCCCACAGCCCCTGCCTGTGCCACACTC